ATTGATGATAACCGAATCTCAAGTCAATCTTGGAGAAAACTGAAACACCCTGCAACTCATCAAATAAATCATCAATACGAGGTATCAGGTACTTATTTCTAATGGTGACCTTGTTCAATTGTTGATAGTTAATACACATACGCATGGATCCATCTTTCCTTATCACAAATAACAGTGGAGCACCCCAAGGAGATACACTCGGTCTTATAAATCCTTTGCTTAACAAATCATGCAACTGTTCCTTCAGCTGTTTCAATTCAATTGGTGCCATATGATAAGGAGAAATAGAAATAGGATGAGTGCCTGGATCTACGTCAATACAAGAATCAATATCACGATAAGGCAGAAGACCTTGTAAATTTGTCAAAAATACCTTCGAAAATTCACTCACCATCGAAATAGACTCAAGCATATGAGTCTAACACTAGTATCTCAAATGTGCGCCAAGTAAACCAAATAACCTCTCTCTACTAAGTGACGAGCCTTAATAAATGATATCACCCCTTTAGGAGGGTGACTAAGAGAACCTCTCCATTTTACTATAGGAATTCCAGGAATAGCTAATGTAATTGTCTTGGCATGACAATTTAAAATTGCATGATAAGGAGATAACCAATCTATATCAAGAATCAAATCAAAATCTACCATATCTAAGACTTTTAAATTTGCATGAGTGTCATATCCCATCAAGGTAACTATACATAGTCGATACACCCGATCTACCACTACATAATCCCCAACAGGAGTAGAAACATGTACTGGCAAATCAAGAGACTCACATAATATATCCAAAATCGAAGAAAAATATGTGGACACATAAGAATAAGTAGAGCATGGATCAAATACTACAGTAGCTGGTCGATGACAAATTGGAATAATACATGTGATAACAACATTTGAAGTCTCAGCCTCTGGCCTACCCAGGAAAGCATAAAAGTATGAACGACCGCCCTTAGATTGTGAACCTTCACGACCACCACCTCGACTAGAAGGAGAATCACCTCTACCGGAATGAGAAACACCTCTGCCACTTTGTACACCTCCCCTAGTTGGAGGTTGTGCAACTCTGAAAGTCGAAGCCTGAGAACCCTAATGCGAGCCACTACGTCTGGTCCTAATGCAATCTCTCACAAAGTGTCCCATATCACCACACTCAAAACAACCGCTATGAGACCTAGGCTGATGAGAGGAACCTGAATGATCAGAATGCCCTCCACGACCTATAGGTCTGGAAGATGAACCCTGTGAAGTATGCACTGAACTCGACCATGCCCAGCGTAACTAGCCTCAGACGCTGGTATAGCAACATGAATGGGTCTGCTAGACTAAGAGTGATAACCTCTCCCAAAGTAACCTCGACTCTTAGGCGGAGAACCACCATAATCACCTGAATGACGGGCCCTCTTTCCCTCACGCTGCTCAAATCCCTCACGTCAAATCATCTCTAACTCCTTAGCATCATCCACTACGTTCTGGAATGGAACACCAGAAACAACAACTTGAGAAACTCCCAAACGAATCGGAATAATCAGCCCCTTAACAAACCTTCTCACCCTCTCAGCCTCCGTGGGAAGTATCATCGAAGCATGCCTAGACAAGGCATGAAATCTACCCTCATACTTTGCGTCTGGCATACTATCTTGCTGCAAACCCTCGAACTCAGCCCTCTTGCACTCCCTCTCACTGCGTGCAACAAACTTTGCTAGAAATACATGAGTAAATTGAGTCCATGATAGTGGAGAGACTCCACTCATCCAAGATTATGCAACCTCTTATGACAACTAACTATAAATTATATGCATCCTCAGTTAAGTCACTAGTATAAGTCGGAGGATTTATTAGTCTGAACCTCCCAAACATCTTTTGTTCATCAATGGTCATGGAAGGCCTGTTCGCCAAGTGTGATGCAATACATGGCAATTCCATACTATATAAACGGGGAGCTACAACAACAGATGGCTGAGTCTTAGGAGTCTGAGAATCAGGAGCAACCATCGGATCTGGAGTTTGACCTCCAACACGGGTTTGTAAGGCATCAGAGATGACATGCCAAGTTCCCGCCTGAGCCATCCCATCTAGAAGTCCTAACATATGAGGCAAGGTATCTTGAAGCACTGGAGTGACAGTAATATTGGGGGGAGCCTGAGCTGGTCCATCCCCCCCGACACGATCCTGCACATCCTCTTAAATAACATATGCATCAGGAGGTATTGTCCTATCATGAACCTAGGTAGCTATTGGTACTTGGTCTTGCACGGGTGTTGCACTACGACCCCTACCCCGACCTGGGGCTCGACCTCGACCCCTGACTCTACCTCGGATAGTGCTCCTAGAAGCAGGCATAAGAATAGGCTCCTGATCACCACTTGATGTATGAGTCCTCACCATCTGAGAGAGAATAAGATATCAAGATTAGAATTTCAACAAGGTCAAGTGTGCACGCACTACAAAAAAATTGATTTTTAGTTACGAATAAATTTGTCACCTAAAGCACATATTTCGTCACCAAAAAACTTCCGTGATGAAAAAAAATCGTCAAGCATTCATCCCTAAATCGTATGTCACCAAATGTATACAGGCACAACTTAGTGATTCGTCACTAATTATAGTTCTATTTACTACGAAAATATTTTTCGTCCCCAAATGTATAGTATCTATGACAAACTTGTTCATCATAGAAAATATATTTTTTTGTAGACAATGGTAGCTTTTCGTCACTAAAAAGGTCATTAATGCCGACGAAACTGATGCGTCACTTATTGTATTATATAATTAGTGACGACGTCATTTGTCTCTAAATTTAAATGTATTTCGTCATTGAACAAACATTATTCCGTCACAAAAAACTGCCCTTTACATTCAAATTCTCTTTTTGTCCCTAAATGTATAAATTAGTGACAACTTTAATTTTTTTATAATTTTGTAGTTGAAAACAATTAGGTCGTCACTAAAAATATTTCTTTTACTCACAAAACAAAATTGTCACTATAGAATGTCATAACTAGAGACGATCATAATTGTCATAAAATACTAAGTCAATTCGTAGGTAATAAGTAGGCTATTTTGGGACAAAAAATAATCTTGTCACCAAATGTTACACTTTTATGATGAAAACATGACCGTCTTAAAAAATATTATAGAGTCGTCGCTAAAAGTTATGCTTTTAAGGACAAAATGTTTTGTCAGTAGTCATTCGTACTAATACTATTTTCCATTTGTATTTAACTAGGTTTTGTAAATTTGATAATTTATAGAAAATTTATATCTTTTAAATAATACATTAATATCTTAAAATTCATAACCTAGTTTGTTCCATAATAATAAATATACAATTTTTAAAATAAAAAACATACTAAAGAAAGAAAGATAATAATAATAATAATAATAATAATAATAATAATAATAATAATAATAAGCTGCACACTGTTATATAGTACTAATGAAGAACAAATAGAAAATGAGATCGAAATGATATTCACTACATACTCCTAGAAGAAAAACTAATATTATGTAACGTTTATCCAACTTTAAAGTATAACTAAGATATGCTAAACATTAACAAAACAAAGATAAAAATATAGAGTCAGCTTTAAGAGATATCATTGCAAAAGCACTTCTCTCGCACCTAATCTTGATTTCCACCTTCCACAACCTATGTAAAATAGAGAAAGAAAATCTAAGATGTTATTTCATACTTGATGATATCATGATACGGACAAACTATAAAGTTATGAGGTTATTAAATGTACCTTAATGGATAACTTGATATGAATCAGTGATCGTCACTAACTCACGAAAAGGAAACAAAGTTAGGTGCTAAAAATCTATAAATAGGACTCATTTCATGGATAAAACATTTGCTACCAATCCTTTCACATATTTTAATGAAGTTAAAGATGTATTCCAGTTCGACAAAAGGAAAATGCCAAGAATAAGACCAAGATACGACAAAACTAAATTCTAACCTTGATCGGGATAAGCTCATGAAATGTTGCAGCTGTTTCATAATATCATCTTGACGTGCCGATAGAGTATCTAATTGTGAAGTTAATGTTTCTATCTGAGACTGCTGATTTTCTACAACAACTTCAGCTGCATCCAATTGTTTCTGCAAACCAAGTTGGACACTTGCAGCTTCTTCCTTCGTCTTTCGAAGGGAGTCTTCTAACTCTACTGTTCTCCTTTGTGTTGCTCGATTAGTATTAGGTTTTGGACCATAACCGAGACCTTTTATGTACCCCGACTTTTTGCCGAGTATAACATCCACAATTTCATCAATAGTCATGGAAGACTCTCCCGAAGTATATAGAGCTTTCAAATCAATCATGTTGTTCTAGAAAACATATAATTCAAATTATTTAAACGTATTATAATAACAAATAAATCATTTTGAATGCGACTGGAATATTTGCTTCTCATATAGTTAGTCTCAGCTTCTTCAGATGCCCAGCCTTTTTCATTTGAGTAATGTGTATTTTTGTAGAACTCAATTCTATCAGGTTCGACCCCTTCAGATGTTGTGTCACCCTACAAAATAAATTTAAAAACTTATTGTAGTAAGTATGGGCGTACAAACAACAATGAGAGATGTTCATGAATGAGCATGAACATGCTGAGATGGTTGATGCAGCTGAGGATGCAGAACATCATGAAGTTGCTAAAGAAAGACTTAAGAGGAAGGAATTCGAAAATTTTATTGGTGCTTGGACAAGGATGTTGTTGGACCTCAGCACTAATCCATTGATTGATGATAAAGGAAGATATAAAACTCAATTAGTGGGGGAGGGAGAGAAAGGAAAGGAAAAAATGCAGGAAGAGCAATAGTGGTCTAATCCTGTAGGGAAATCTGCAAGGAAAGTGGCTCAACAGAATCTGCAGGAAGTGGGTACTTCTAATGGTTTTGAAACACTAGAATATTATGGCCAAGTGGGGAGGACTGAGGCAGGTCAAGAGGATGAACTCAACAGACTGGTTGAGGGCATAACATATAACCATCCTACATGAAGTGCATTGCATGGAATGTGAGGGGGTTGAATAAAGTGCACAAGCAGGTTGAGTTTAGGAATTTTTGCAAAAGTTATAAAGAAGCTATTCTAGTAGTGCTGGAGCATAAAATAAAGGAGGGAAAGGCAGGAAAGATAATTCAGAAAATGGTTGGAAAGTGGGAATGGGTGGATAATTATAATACTGATCCTAGAGGAAGGTTATGGATTCTATGGGATCCAAATAAAGTGAAGTTTAGAGTGGATGTAGTTCACAAGCAATTCATCCATGGGTATGTCACGACTCAAAGCTCAGGGTTCTATCTAACAAGAGTGTATGGTATGCATACCATTGCTGATAGGAAACATTTATGGACTGGCTTGACACAAGTTACAAATGCAGTTACAGAGCCTCTAGTAATCATGGGTGATTTCAATTCTATTCTACATGGGGATGACAGATTTGGTGGCAATGCTGTGATGGATGGGGAGGTGCAGGACTTCAAAAAGCTTATGGAGACAGCTAGCATAATTGGAATGAAGTGTTTGGGTAGGAGATATACTTGGACTAATGGGCACATTCATAGAAAAATAGATTGGATCCTAACAAATGCTTCTTGGGTACATAAATGGGAGCACATTCAAGGACTCATCATGGAGCCACTGTTTTCAGATCATTGTGTTGTGAGCTTTCCCTTAGGGGATCGACATAATAGTGGGCAAAAATCTTTCAAATTTTTTAATCACATAGCTGAGCACCCTGATTTCATTGGTGTTGTGAGGAAGGGATGGAGGGGTATGACATATCCTACAATGAGAGGTGTATGGCAGAACTTGAAGAAGGTAAAGGTGCTGATTCAGAAATTAAATACTAAGGCGTTTAAGGGGGTGACTGAGAGGGTAAATCAGAAACGAAAACAACTAATCAATTTGCAAGGCCTCATGAGTGATCCCCTAGCAGCTAGTAGGCTAGCAATGGATGAAAAACAATGCAAAGTGGAACTTGAGAGGTGGATTAATATTGAAGAGAGCATCTTGATGCAAAAGTCTAGAGTGCAATGGTTGAAATTGGGGTATGCTAACACCTCGTATTTTCATGCATGTCTAAAGTCTAGGCAAAGTCAGAAGCAAATAACACAATTGATGAGTCTTGAAGGCATAGTATTGTCATCTGGAAGCCAGGTTGAAGGGGAAATTACAAAGTTTTATAAACAATTGCTAGGTTCTGCAGCAACTAGTCTACCAGCAGTGGACATAACTATCATGGGTGGTGGTAATGTTCTATTAAGAGATCAGCAGCTACAACTAGTTAGGCAGGTGGAGATGGAAGAAATATGGAAAGCACTAGCAGGCATCAGTGACACAAAGAGCTTTGGGTATGATGGGTTTAATGCTTATTTTTTCAAAAAAGGGTGGTCTGTTATGGGAGAAGAGATCACTAGTGCTGTTATGGAATTCTTTAATACAACAAGAGAAATTATGGGTTGTATGGGTCCATACATACTATGTCAAAGGAAGAGATATATGGGAGGTGGAACCTAAGACGGCCTCATGGATGATTCAGAAAGTGTTTAAAGCCAAGCGGTATATAGAGAATGTTGGGAATAATGTAACAGATTTCATGGGGATGCATAAGTTCTCTATAAAGAAGATGTATAAGCTGCTGCTAGGCGATTTACCCAAAGTCAGTTGGAGGAAAATGGTATGCAATAACATAGGATGTCCTAAATGGAAGTTTATTCTTTGGTTAGCATTAAAGGGGAGATTGCAGACTAAGGATAAGCTTGGGCAATGGATTAGGGAAATTGATAAGGTTTGTCCACTATGTATGAGCGATGGGGAATCATTACAACATCTATTCTTTAACTGTCCAGTTGCTGGTAATATATGGCGTTATTTATTACAATGGCAGGGCATTACAAGATCGAATCAAGGGTGGATGGAGGAAGTGCAGTGGGCTCAGCAACATTGCAAAGGGAGAAGCAAAGGTGTGAGTGTCTATAAAATGGTACTAGCAGCTGCTGTGTACCAAGTCTAGAAAGAAAGGAACAATAGAATCTTTCAAAATTCTTCGCGATCACAGCATGTTATCATCAAACAAATCATACAGGAAGTGTTCCAAAGAGCTAGTAGGTTACCTGTGTTAGTAAATTATATGAGAAAAATGGATTACTACCCAGTGTGATGATTTGGATTTGTTAAATAGATGTTAAGAGGGATAGGGGAATATGAGGGATGCATTTGACATGGAGTGATACCACTCAATGCAGGTCCTAAGTTTGGTTTTTATTTTTGTATTGGTTCTTTTTTGAGTTGTAAATTGCACTTGGTAAATAAAATACTTTACTTGCCAAAAAAAAAAAAAGAGAAGTTGAAGCATTAGTAAAAAAAATATTGTTTAAGTTACCATTTCAGCACGAGCAGCTACAAATGCTTTTGACCCCATAAAATGGCTATATTTAAGTTTAGATCGATTGACCTTGTTTACTTGACATCGTTTCTACCATGAAAATAGACATATAAGTAGATCAAATAACACTTAAACAAATAAAGTGTATATATATATATATTTGAATATAGATCACCTTATGCTCTGGATTCGACCACATATCACAAAGCCTATTCCAATTTTCCGGGGTTAGTTCTGGCACTTCAATTTTACGAGCAACTTCTTCGGAGAGTGCACTTTCAAACATCATTTTCAATTTATAGCGCCACTGCCGACTTCTATTTTTGAGAATATCCTCACAACTATCTTTGACGTAATGCTCGTCTAAGTTAATTTCAAACTTCTCCTAAAAAGAGGTTTTAAACAAAACACACATAAAAATCAAAATCATTATAACATATAAGAAGATGAAACTCTTACTTATTACAATTTAAGAAAAATAACAAAAATAGAAATCTTAAATGACATCTAATAAGCGCAACATATTTTTCCTCTACAGTGAGTTCCTTCCACTTATTTGGAAGCGCAAGAAAATTTCGTGCAATTATCCCCAATTCATTTGAGAGTTTTGCTGATTGAACCGCCTTAACAGGTCTTCCTTTTCCAGCTGGGATCTCTATCACCATCTTTTTCCCTAAAGCCCTCTTCATTTTTTCAAGACCTTTTCCCCTTGTTTTTCCTCGACCCCTCTTAAATCTTGCCGTATCATCTGATTAAGAAAAGGTTAGTTTGAAATAATATCTTAATAGTAATATACTTGTGTATACATTTTAGAATTTCTAGATTCAATTAAGAATATTATGATTAAAGTTTTACAGAACTAAAAGCTTTAGTTGTTTAAGTTTTGGCTTCAAACCTGAAAAGTAACTAATAGCTATGTGTTGATTTATACAAGAATTTGTATTACCTATCGCAGTAGCAGGAGTACATTTATTTGACTCATCGGCAGATTGAGCAGATGAAACAGTTTGTCTAGTAAGTGTTTTTTGCTTATAGACACTTCCTCCTGGAGCCATGACGTCTCTTATATCCCTGCAAAATATCATGGCATATGCACAACAAATGATAATTATGAACATTTTGTGTTTTGATATGTCTCTCTATTACACAGGGCTAGAGATTTTACATTCAACTGGGATTTACAGGCAGTTGTGAGAAGTGTCTGCAACATGAAGATATGAGAAATTTCTACAACATTAATAATACCACAGTTCTGGTCAATCACAGTTTTTATGAGGATCATGCTCATGGTAATATTATAATAACACAAATTACCAACTCTCATTCCAGACAAAGTGATTGTGTTGGTGAGTTTAGTGTCTCCTTCATCGGAACAACCAAACACTATTTTGGATTAGATGATGTTTTGAGTCTTTCCAAGAATGCAAATTCAACAACGTTCAAGTATTGAGGCTGGCAAGACGCTTTGTTACGATGAGAATCTAATGGAAATATATGAGATATTGGCTGAGAAATTCATGAGCCAGATCAATGGAGATGGAGAAACAAAAGGATGGAGAGAACTGATCGTTCAACTTTTCTCAAGAGCTACTCTATATGTAATGACTTTGAAGATTGTCCAAAGAGTTCTTTGTAAAATTAAAATCTTATACTCTACAAAAGAATAACTACATTGAATCAAGTTTAGTGCAGACCTCTAAAATCTGAAATAAAAAAACTAAGAAGTGATCATGTAGAACTAAACTAGTGATTGCTTAGATGCACAAAGAAACATGAGCAACATAGAATTTAACAACTAATTGACATAACAAAATACAAAATCTTACAGCACATCAACTGATTTCATTGAGCTTAAATCGTTACAAAGAAATATAGTGCTGAAAAATCAAAGGGAAGAACGAATTTCAGTCTTCTTGTTCTCTGTTTTTTCAGAGGAATCATTCATACCTGGTACGTTTCTTCAAGCTCGGAAATCTAACTTCAGTCAGGAGTTCGCTTTTCATTTGTCACATATGTATATATATACATTCTTCTAAAATCAATTTTGGAGCCAAAAATAACAGAAATTAAGCGCCAAAACGTAGTTCTTTTTTGCATTTTTTATCCCAAAGATCGATGGTTCTATTTTGGTGGAATCAAAAAAGAAATTTTAAGAGTTGGGGCGGTAATCCCAAAAACTTGGGAAGTGGAAAGGTTGAGAAATGGTAGGAGTGTTAAGTTGTGTTTTCTTCTGAAGGAAGTTAAGCTATTTATCTTAAAAGCTTATTTGAAATATATATATAAAAAGAGGAGAAAAAAGAAAAGAAAAAAAATAAATTCTCACACCTACTTATGTTTAAAGATAAATTTAGAAGGAATTACAAGGTTGTAAATCTGTACGCTATAAGCTGTAAAATAATTTTATAGTTGAAATCTGTGGAATTCTAGTACGTGATCATCCCGTCATTATTGGCGTGATTGGAATATCTTAAAATATATTCCAATTAGTACGATATTTGACATTCCACGTGTTTTTTTTAAAAAAAAATATTAACATTTTAAAAATAAATTTAACTATCTTGCCATTATAATAAAAACAGTTCTTTATAAAGAATTACTTTATAGAAGTTTAAAATAACATATTGTAATATTTACATGCCACATTGATCCAAATTAAAATCCTATATCAATATCATACCAAATTAAAATGGTATGGTACAATGTTCCTCTATTCTTTTTCGGTACTATAATTCCATAATGTTTGGTTTGGGGAATTTTCAATTAGCAATTCAAGCTGTTAAAAAAACTGTCTTTTTGTATTGTGTCATTCACGTCTAAAAACTTGTTCTTTGATGTTAGTATTGTGGGATAAGGCACAAGTACCTCCTACACTATATGACCGAATTTTTAGCCTATGTGGCCTCCAATCACCACCCACGTGCCTCTACTAAGTGGAGTCAGGGAGAGTTCCACGTAAGACAAAAGGTGTACAATTAAAAATATATTTTGTGAGAGGAGGTATTTTCACACGATATGGACGCAAGGCGCCATTCTGGGCATGAATAGCTAAAGTCGGGTCGAGTTTTGAAAAAGGGAATTTTGTCCAATGATATGTATACTCCCTAAGATAAATGTCAATATTTGGAGTGTTACACTAACTTTTTGTGGTAGAAACACGCGAGGAGTGACTTAGTGAATGTACTTTCACTACTATATTTGTTATTGAGACTTGCGATCAACTTCAATCCACTCTCAATTAAATCTATCAAAAAGTGAACTTGGTATGTTTCCTTAATTACTTCTCTTGTCTTCCCTCCTACATGTCGACATATGTTCTACTCGAATGGATCATTGGATGTGGTTTCATTATGCAAGCACCAAACAAAATACTCATTTAGCGATTAAGACTTTTGAACCAACTAAAATTAACTAAATCATAATACATGTATTTTTGGCACAAGCTAAACTTCAAATTCCTCATATTCAACTACAAAGAAGTATTTTTATGACAAGAATGAGATCAAACCACGACCACTTGACAATCTTACGCAACAATTACTAAATATTTGGAAGAAAACTTATGCTTACAACTCCACTAATTACATGATTTATTCTTACAATAGACATAACTCTTTCATAGAGACAATAATAGAAATAAACGTAAAGGGACGAAGATCATCTGTTTCACGGCAGTAAACGGGGTGCAGGAGTTGGATCTTTAAATCGATGGATTCTGAACTCGAACTCAACTCGGACGGAAAAAGAATAACAGATCAGGCAAAAATATAATTTTCTTTATATATATAAAATTTAGGGGAACAAAAAGAAAAGTCATTAGATGAGTCAAATATATAAATGATTCATTACTTTTTATTGATAAATGAGCTAAAGATGATAAGCTTTTTTCACTCTGATTTCAAAACAACCCAACATCTACTCTCATTATTTCTCATCCAAAACAAAAGATACCCATCATTCCCAGCTGTTTAGCTCTCACGATTCTCCTATTCAGTAGTTGTGGGACTTGTCACCGAACTTTTTGCTCATACCTCCACCTCGCTAGTATATATTCAGGTAAGGTTCTATGTTTCTTCTCTCTCTTGTTTGCTATCAGAACCATCTCGTATCCCCTTCAGGCTTCAAGCCCATATTT